GTCTTACGTCTTGTCTTACTTTACAAAAAAAAAAAAAAAAAAAGCTGTTTTTTTTTTTTTTTAAGTTACTGCTTTGTGGCAGTTTGCAGTGCACTCAAGTCATCGAACCTTGTTCCTTATAGATTTTTTTTTTTTCAGATTCGGGAATAGAAACAAGTCACTAGGGTCCAGATATGGACTGTAGAGTGGGTGGTCAAGCTCTTCGAAAGCACACTATCGAATGACAGCCTGGGCAACGCGAGTCTTGTAAACGGGGGCGTTGTCATGCAGGAGGAGGACGCCTCTTGTCACCAATCCTCGTCGTTTTTCCGCGATGGCCTCCCGCAGTTTGCGGAGAACGTTGGTAAAGTATTCCCCTGTTATTGCCCTGCTGTTTTTCAGATAATCAATCAGTAGGATATCGTTTGCGTCCCAAAAAACTGTCGCCATCAATTTCTTCCCCGAGCGTTGCGTCTTGAATTTTGTCGGAGAGGGGGGGGGGGGGGGGGGGGGGGCGCATGATTTTACTGCATAGACTGTCGTTTTGTTTTGGGGTCCCACTATGGAAAAGCCACGTCTCATCCCCAGCCACAAGGCGGGCGAGAAAATCTTCTGGGTCGTTTTCATAGATGCTCAAAAGCTCTCTTGACGAATGCAAGCGCTGTTGTCGATCCCGCGTAGAGAGGTTTCGTTGCACCCACCGTGCCGAGACTTTCGGCATACCCAAAACGTCATGGACGATTGTGAAAGCACTGCCATATGAAAAGTTCAATTCTGTAGCAACTTCGGACACCTTTATTCGGCGATTCTTCATGATGAGGCTTTCAGCTCAGGCTGAATCGTCCAAATCGGTCGAAGTGCTGGGCTGTGCTGACCTTGGGTCGTCTTGCACGTCCATACGACCGCGTTTAAACTCGTTGAACCAACGAGTTATTGTACAGTAACTCGCTTGTTCGACGAATTTATACGCGATGTATAGATATATATATATACGTATATACTACTAAATGGCAACATACGAATTTGAATGCCGTGATGGAACACTCTAAAAAAAAACCGCGCGTCTGCTTTCCCGCACAACACCTCGAAGATCCAATCACCACAACTTACGGAGGCAGCTCAGCGAATGACGATGCCGAAACATATGTTTAGACCAAAAACGCAGTCTGAGTTGTGACATTAAGCAATGCAAGCGTGACGTTTTGCATTGCTTAATGTCACAACTCAGACTGCGTTTTTTGGTCTAAACATATGTTTCGCCATCGTCATTCGCTGAGCTGCCTCCGTAAGTTGTGGTGATTGGCTCTCCGAGTGTCGTGCGTGAAAGTAGACGCACAAACTTTTTTTAGAGTGAAGGACACCAGGGGAATAAAACAACCGGGAGCAAGCTTCCATTTTGTTGATATATTCACCTTTAAAAATCTCAGCGTTTTACAACAACCTCACAGGTTTCAATCTAAGTTTCTTGTTTGAACTTAACAGATGCTTCTCGATGTTGCTGTCCGAAAGATGAGCAATTGAAGAAGAATGTAGTTTTGGAAGGTTAGTCTTAAAAACTACCAGTCCTTTATCGTAAAGGTCCGATTCGTTGTTCAGTTCGAAGGTGGGGGTGAAGAGGAGAGGGAATAAAGGTTAATTTTTTGGGTATCTTTTGAGTGACGAATGTTCGAGCTACAAGGGTGCGTTCGTTCGATGTCTGGTAACCTGCTTTTGTGGTAACTGTAGTATCTTTGTGGAAGTCCAGTGATGGCTGTAGTCGGCCTTTATTTTTGAATGTATGAGGATTTGTGGAAGCAAAAAAAAAAAAAAAAAAAGTAGCTGAGTTTGAGAGGTCCCTCTTTTTGTGTCTTTTCCTTCGACTAATAGTTTTGTTTTTTGTGCCGCAGTCTCGGGCACTAAAAAAAGAATAAATGTCCACCAGCTCGCCTGCACCCGACTGTTACGAAGCTAGGACACCACAAACTAAACCCTAAAATAAGTAACATAAAAGTTAGCGAGATTCTGCTCTTCGTAAAGTTATTGTTTTTATTCCTTTTTAAAGTTCTCCACTTAGAAATAAAATAAAAATAGCCTCACTAGACGAAAAAAACAAACAACAAAGTTCCTTTTTCTGTTCCCGTAAAAACGTAACGAGTTCCCGTTCCAGTTCTACCGACGCAAAATGGAACGGCGGCGTTCCTTCGTTCCTCCTAAAAGGAAAGTGTGTACCTTTGCAAAAATCTCCTTCTGCGCGCTGCCATCTTTGTTTGCTGGGCTGTGGAACGCCTTCTGAGCATGCGCTGTTGCTCTGCTGGGCGGTATATCAGATGCTGCGCATGCGTCCACAGCTCAGTGACTCAGCAGTTTCCGTTCGGGCGCTTCGTTCGAGACTGCCGCTGGAAAGGTCTATTCCAGGAGCGTCGTTCCTTGGAACGCCGTTCCGTACAACACTGATTCAGAGACAACTTTCTGTGGTATTTCGGACGACAGGAGTACAGCTTTAATCCACGCTCAAGCACGCGCTCTCGTACCTTTGTCCGAGGTTGCTATAGCTGATAAGAGGTTAAGAGTTGCAGGGGAAGCTCCTCCCACGTCTTTCCCCTTTAGCAGAGCGGACGCTGAAGAGGAGGCGACTTCCTCTCAAGCCTCTTCTCTGCTAAAGTGGAAATAGGTGGGAGGAGTTTCCCCTGAATCTTAAAGGTGCACTAAAGGCGTTTCTGCTATCGGTGATAACTTATCGTACGGACTCCAAGCATCCTAGAAATCCAAAAATTATGCTTGTGCGACGTCTATTTCCCTATTAAAAATGTGACCCAAGTTCGACGCGCGTCCGTCGTCACGTCACCAGCGCCTCCGCTGGATTCTGTGCTCCAGATTTTTCCGCTCAGAAAGGGGCATGGCACGAACTTCGGTCACATTTTTAATAGAGAAATAGACGACGCACAAGAATACTTTTTTTTTTTTTATTTCTAGGATGCTTGGAGCTCGTACAATAAGTTATCACCAAGAACAGAAGATCTCAGAAACGTCTTTGGTGCACATTTAACCTCTCACCAACAATAGATCAAAGTCAGTTGACAATCTTCCTAGAGCGGCTGGCGCCTTTTCGTTGCGCGTCCGCTCGGTGGCGCTCGCTACGCCATCAGCCCGCCCTATGGAGAGAAGCGGTGGAACTGGTGGAACGTTGGACGCACATTGTTTGCGGTGAAGAATGATTCTACACTCTAAAAAATGCCTGCGCATCTACTTACCCGCAAAACACTTAAAAAGCCAATCTGTGATCTGCGAAATCAGCTCAGCGAATGATGAGGCAAAACATCTATCTAGACCTCAAAATTAAGTCTGCGCTGTGACATTACGCGATGCAAGCATGGCGCACAGTGCTGACAAAACTTTTTGAGGCCTAAATACATGTTCCGTCTCATCATTCGCTGAGCTGATTTCGTAGATCACAGATTTGCCCTTTGAGTGTTTTGCGGGTAAGTAGACGCGCAGGCATTTATTAGAGTGTACACTCTAAAAATAGCTTATGCGTCTACTTTCCCGCACGACACTCGGAGAGCCAATCACCTCAGCTCAGCGAATGACGATGCAAAAACATACGCTTAGACCAAAAAACTCAGTCTGAGTTGTGACATGAAGCAATGCAAGCGTGACGTTTTGCATTGCTTAATGTCACAACTCATACTGCGTTTTTTGGTTTTAACGTATGTTTCGGTATCGTCATTTGCTGGGCTGCAGGCCTCCGTAAGTTGCTGTGATGGCTCTCCGAGGGTTGTGCGGGAAAGTAGACGCGTGGACTTTTTTTAAAGTGTATTACGTTTTTTTATGGTAAAAATAAAGTTTGCGCATAAAGAGCGTCGTTCGAAAACGGTCCTTCTCCAGTGCCCGTGATTTTTCAAGATTTCATAGATGCGAGAACATTGTGTTGCTAGCGAGAGCTTGTGCCGTCAATTCGAGCACAGGCTGAGCACGCGCACGCAAGTCCCGCAATCCAGTAATGCCGGAGTGCCTCCAGAGCGACAAACAGAAACAACCGACACGGACAAGCCTCAAACACGCGATGGTTAGCAGGCTTGCAGTCTCTCGTGAAGTATAAGCACGATGTGATTGCAAGTCTGCCAAAGCTACATTCGCGTGCATGCTGCACGTGTTCTTGGCTTGTCGGTGTCGGCTGTTTTTGTTTGTCGCTTCAATGGGGCTTGGCCATTAAGCCCCTTGACGTGTTTGTCTTACAAGTAGCGTCAAATGCGCCAAAACACGAAGCCCGTGCCTCGTGCCTGTTGGAAGCAAATAGCGACGATGCACTGAAATGAGCGGCCCTTGGAAGCGAATGGCGGCAGAGCACTCGCTAGTGGCACCATTGCCAAGGGTTAATTTCACCGAGGGACTTTACAATCCCCGGTGCACGATCTATGAATACCCCCATTGTTCGAAGACGAAGAAGTGCAGCCCCGTTTCCCCTCTTTGAAAGCAACACCTGTATTGTTTTACACAATCTTTTCGTAACAGTGCGCTGCAAAAAGGACCCATTTGTCTAGTTTACTGTGGAGCATGAGCAGAGCAAGCCACTTCACGATCAGCGCTGGGACACGCAGCAGAACGGTTTAATAGGTCCGTGTTTCAGTGCAGATCGCGTTTCATTCAGGGATTTGAATATTTTTTCGGGCCTCGTCGTTGGGTATACACTTGCTCCGATTGCTCCGATTGGGCGATTTGCTCTCTGCCCGCTGAGTGGGGAAGAGATGGGCCGGCATATTTTGTCGAGTACCCGCTTTGAAGTCTACAAGTGTCGGTTATACCAGGGTCGCACTCGCCCTAGGGCGATAAATCTCAAAGTACGCTCCTATCGACCCAGCTACAGCAACCTCCAGACGAAAACATCCTGCGTGCTAATCTGTGACAAATGGAGCACAAACCTCCATGGAACTGAACTTTCCAGAGCGTTTGAGATGAATCACGCTTGTCGGAACTCGGCCCACCTTCGGCGCGCTTCCTCGCGCCTTTGCGGGCGACACCGGTGAGCGAAAGGTTACACTTACAACGACCACCGAGAAGAGGAGCTTGGTCTTGAGTTCGTCGGCGTCCCTGAGCTGCGGCAGGGCGTCCAGGGCGTCGAGCGTGTCCACGCGTGCCTGCGCGTACAAGCTGCCGTACCTGCGGATGAGCACCGTGGGCCGGCGCTCGCAGTGCGCTAGGTTCTCGAAGCGCGGGCTGCGCTCGATCATTTTCTGGGCCTGGCTGGCGAGCCGGTCCTGGAGCTCGCGCTGGCGCTGCTGCAGCACCAGGATCGTCTGGCGGGCCCGGGCCAGCTCGCCGCTCTCAGCGCCCGACGACGAGGCCGTCGAGTGGGCGTCCGCGGGCCGCGTCATGGCCGACTGGTCAGAGTCCGAGTGGTAGCCCGCAGACAGGTCCGAGTCGTCCTCGTCGTCGGCTCCCACGTCGCGCATCAGGTCCAGCACGTGGTGGCAGCCCGTCGAGTAGCGCAGCAGCACGGGGGCCACCACCGTGCCCTCGTCCAGGTCCGGGCTCTCCTTCCGCAGCTGCGTGAACTGTGGTCCCACAAGTGAGCCGCCGCGCTCGCCAACAACGCCCCCGTTCCCCCGCTTCTCTCGAACGCGTATCGGATTGCTCGGCTCCGACTCGGCGGCGGGACGGTCCTGCATGCGATCACGATGAGCGGTGGAGCGTGGTCGAAATGACGTCTTTGCCAGCTCGCTGGGGGCCAAGTGCAACGCCTGCTTTGTTTAGTGTCTCGATCGGGCATCGCCTTCTAAGCGCCGAGATTACCCCCATCTTTTCTCGTGGGGCCGAATAGAACTATTGATAAATTATCCAAGCATCAAGGAGAATGCTGGGAATTTAACTAAGGGTATAAGCGCCGCACACGCTCGCCTGCCCCGTATAAAAGATTCCAAGTAAATAACAAAAATTAAGTGTTGACAAAAGCGCGTGCAAGATTAAATTTGTTAGAAGTTAGTTATTTCTTTAGAGCAGTTCCTGCTGGAGACGCCAGTACGTGCAGCTCGTGTAACTACACTCGCAGCATTATCCTTGGTGCTTGTGTAACTAGCAGAAGTCGGAGGTGCTCGTCTGTTTGTTATGATCGCTATGCCTCCCTGCGGCCCTCTGAGAACGTCCAACTACGGGCTTTGTTTTCTTGTCAACCTGAACTCAATTAGCTCGCTTTTTTTATTGTCGACGTGTGTGCACCAGAAACATCGCTTCGCGTTATGCAAGCGCACGAGGAATAGACGGAGCATTTCTCAATAGACCTCTTGCAAAACCGAAGCGATCCTAGCGGCGTGGTGCGGCACAAAGCATCTTGGGTATACCTTTTGGCCACCTTCGCGGTTTCGATTTGCTGACCTGAATTCACGACATTCCGTCACGACCGAATACAGTGCATGCATTTTCGAATAAGCGTCAGCCTTTCCGCAGCACTAGCACACCCTGCACGCCCAAAGTGCAATAGATTTTTTGTTTTTTAAATGTGGGAAAAACGTTAGTAGCCAAACAACTTGGGTCCTCCGCTTCCAAAGATGCGCGGTACGGCAGGAACTATACTATGGTCACAAACGCGCGAGTATTCAGGTATGAATGGTCCTGTACATCACCTTAACTATTTTGCTGTTTCTAGGTCCCTTTTTAATGCCAATTTCTTTCTGCGTGTTTATGTGTAAATATGAATCGTTTGGCACAAAAATGGGAAATGCAAGACACCGGTGGTTCCTCATATTTAACGCGGATAAATACAAAAAGAAAAAAAGTTAAGAAGAAAACACCGCCGGTGTTTGTAACGATATCAGAGGTGTTCCGTCATTTCCTACACGGAACGGCGCCTCGTCGCGCCGATGTGGCCTAGACAGGCCCGAAGGATATGAATAAGCGATTTCTCAGTAGCAGCGGAAATGTCTAGCCGGCGTCGATTTGCAGCTCCGCGGTGATCACACACCACCGCCCATCGCTAGCGTTGTTCTTCTCTTTTCGACTCAATGAGGCTTACTCTTGATCCAAAAATACAACTTAATTGGTGCTTCGCTAAACAGCTAGAGATCTGAAAGCCTGACACAGAGCTCTCAAAGATGCCAGCACTTCCCCGCAGGGCTTGCTCAGAACCTATCGTGACGATCAAATGAACAAATCTATACAAAACTATACAAAGGTTTTACAAGAAAGGTATAATATGAGCAGGAAGACCCGAGTTTTACTTGCTGACTGTCTCAGTGCAAATAGCATGTCTAGTCATAAGGCTATTTTTGGGGGTCTTCGTCGTTCCCGTGGGCCGTAATATCTGGCCTTTCGCGTCTTTGACCGGGTGCACAGACAATTTTGAACGCTCATAGGCTGCTCGATACGGTTAGCACGAACACGACATCGTCGATTTATGCAGTTTGCTCAAATACAGAAATGACAAGCCCCAAATTTATAATCCGAACCTTAGGCCACGGAGAAATAAAATAACGGAGGTTTAGATTATAAAATTTTCTAACCAGCTGGCCTGCACACTTTCGCATCTTGCCCAACTTTTACCGCATATAGAGCTGGCGCCCCGGATGAGCATTCCACTACACAAGCAGTTGTAGTAATAGCATTTCAGTTGCGAGGGAAAAAAGAAAAAAAAAGCAGAAAAACCTGGCGATGGCTTGTTCGCGCTGTCTCGCCCTCCATATCTGAACATTTCATTGTGTAAATGAGCTACTATCGAAAATAATTTTTTCGTGCATAATCATAGACGTACCAGCGTGAATTTATCCCGCAATAACGGTCGTCAGCATGGTGCGTGTCCTCGTTGAAGGACCGAGGAGACGAGGATATACGTTGTCTATTATCGTCAGCCAGAAGAAGAACATCTTTGTAATAGCATTATAATTATGTAGCGATTGCGACGCAATTGCGCCATTGCTTTTATAAACACATTGCGTGGCGAGGTCGCAAAACGCTTAGTTCGTAGAATGTAGGTCGAATAAACTGTTAGCGACCGTTGCTTCGATCTCGTAATGAGCAAGCCCCGAAAGGAGTAGGCCTGTTTTCCTCCTCCAATTTCCTAGAGGCCCAGCAGCTCAGTGATCCGATCTTCACGGGAAGCTACGTAATCTCGCCGTAACGAGGAGAGCGCGCGATCAAAAGAAGCGAGCGATTTAATAACTCCTCCGTTTTTGGTTTATTATTCTTGTTTCTAAGTTGCAGAGAAGAGAGGAAAGGCGTTTAGACGTGCCGGCATATGTTCATTTGGCGTGCGTTCGTGTTCCAGCCGCGGGGAGAGGAAAATTGAGACTGGACGCTGAAAACAAGCTCGTCGCCCAATATCTTCCTTCAAATAAAAAAAAAAAAAAAATTAAGAAAACGCACACACGCACGGAGGGACGTGCTCCCGCAGAAAAGTATACAGTTTTGAGATTTGATCTTTTTCTTTTCTTTGCGCGCACAGGGTCCGTTACACCCGTTTACAATAGTTCTACAGAGTACTCTAGGATGGGGGGGGGGGGGGGGGGGGGGGGGGGGGGTCCTGCACGGTGTGTGCAGGAACGTACTTTGAGCGATAAAGGTCAACTGTCCATGAAACCAGCCTTCACATCTGGCTTCCTACGGAACATCCAAAGAGTGAATCATTGCTACCTACAGAAAGAGTCTAACAACTAGGCCAGCATATGTTATGTTCAAACATGCCGCCCGCATTGGGAGCCTGAACACGCGAAGAATCGTGCTCAGCAGAGCCGGTCCTGGGGGTGGGCGACCAGCGCACAAAAAGGGGGGGGGGGGGGGGGGGGCGCCGATTTGGCCGGCGACTCCAGCGGGCACTGCAGGGTCACGGCCCACGATCCGGAATCTTTGGGCCTGTAAAGTTAGCCCTGCGGTCGCCGCACCCTAAATTGGTACGCCTCAGGCACCGGGGGACACACCGAGGGGGCCAGTGCTTGCTAGACACAGCGTCTCAGCTCAAAGTATGTGAAAGAAAGTCTACCAAGCTTGGACGCGTGAGCGCTTGAAATTTGATTTCACAGTCCATTAGAATTCGTGCGCTAGCTTTGGCAGTGCTTTCTTTCACACTGTCTGAGCTAAGACTCGATCTATAGACTCTAAAAAAAGCCCGTGCGTCCACTTTGCCGCATCACACTCGGAGAGCCAATCACCGAAACTTACGGAGGCAGCTCAGCGAATGACGATGCCGAAACATATGTTTAGACCAAAAAACGCAGTCTGAGTTGTGACATTAAGCAATGCAAAACCTCACGCTTGCATTGCTTAATGAAACAACTCAGACTGCGTTTTTTGGTCTAAACATTTATTTCGCCATCCTCATTCGCTGTGCTGCCTCGGTTAAGTTGCGGTGATTGGCTCTCCGAGTGTCGGGCTGGAAAGTAGACGCACGAGCTTTTTTAAAAGTGTAGGGCTTTTCCGTCGATTAAAAATTTTAACTCGATTAATCGCTACCCTCTTCTTTTAGCCCACCACACGATATGCTATTTGTAAAATTCCCTTCTCAATTCATTTATCCCAGCCCAAAATTCGTTTCATGGCCCCTTTAGAAGTTTAGGGGAAGCTCCTCGCACCTCTTTCCACTTTAGTAGAGCGGACGCTGGAAAGGGGGCGATCTCCTCTCCAGCTCTCGCTCTGCTGAAGTGGAAAGAGGCGGGAGAAGCTTCCCCTGAACTCTTGACCTGTCACCCACAATAGCGTTCCAGCCGATTCCGCTCACTAGACCCAAGCCTTGTCAGACCTTCCCCAGAAATAATTCGCATGCCGCTCCTGAAGCACACAAATACGATTGAATTCACTTACATTGCAAGCCTCTTCACACTTTTTCTGTGTGCGGAACCGGAACCTGATTTAGTAATGAACTTACACAAACTGTTATATAAGAAACTAGGGTTGGACTATCTGCACAGTCATTATTAGATTTGGTATTTATTAAGAGCAAAATCCTTGAGTATGATGTTTCTGTACATGATGGCATATCCGATCACAAACTTGTCTTGCTTTGTATAAAACAAAGCCTGCCACCAAAGCGTGAGAAGAAGCCAACTACACTCTAAAAAAAGCCCGTGCGTCTTCTTTCCCGCAGAACACTCGGAGAGCCAGTCACCGCAACCTACGGAGACAGCTCAGCCAATGACGATGCCGAAACATATGTTTAGACCAAAAAACGCAATCTGAGTTGTGACATTAAGCAATGCAAAACGTCACGCTTGAATTGCTTAATGACGTCACGTCATTAAGCAATTCAAGTCACTGATGACATCATCAGTGACGTCACAAACATCATCAGTGACGTCACTGATGATATCGGTGACGTCATCAGTGACGTCACTGATGACGTCACCGACATCCGCATCGTCATCGTCATCATCGCTGATGACGTCATCGAAGTCCGCATCGTCATCGTCACTGATGACGTCATCAGTGACGTCACTGATGACATCATCGGCATCGTCACGTGACCCCCCAAGGTCACTTCGCCCCCCCCCCCAGTACCCTTCCCTGCTCCTCCTCAAGAGCTGCACTCTAATTCGGTGTTACAGGGAGTTGTAAACGGCTTTCACTTTTTTCACTCCTTAATATTGACACCAAGAAGTCGGCCGGTCCCGACGGGATCCCAGACGAATTCCTCACGCGCAAATGGGAGTTGGTATCGAAATAATGGCTGATTACTTTTAATGTGTCGCTCCTGCTGCACAGTCTATTTTCCGATTAGCTAACCGCCCGAGGCTGCGTATTCACATAGTGTTGAAAATTATATGCCCATTTCGATTGCATGCGCGTGCTGTAAAATACTAGAACAAATACTATCAAAAAGCTCATTCACGTACGTTGAGGGTTCTAAGATTCTTAATAAAAATCAACATAGCTTTAGACAAAAATTATCCACTATAACTCAGCTTGCCCAGTCAGTCCATGACTTCGGGAAAATTCTAAATGATAGAGGACAGGTGGACGCAATATTGCTGGACCTATCGAAAATATTTGACCGCGTCCCACATGCAGAGCTTCTTAGGAAACTACTTACACTTGGTGTAAACCTGAACATTGTCAAATGGATTCAATCATATCTATCAAAAAGAACACAGTTTGTAGAAGTTGATGGCGCAAAATCAGGAATTCTAAATGTAACATCGGGTGTCCCTCAGGGTTCACTGCTGAGTCCTGTTTTATTCTTAAGTTACATAAATGACATTGCAGATGAACTCAGCGTTGACCTAACGGTTCGCCTATTTGCCGACGATTGCTTAATCTGTTCAGAGATATCAAATAATGCTGACCAAGTCAAACTGAACTCGGCGCTAATAATGAATAAAGACTGGTGCAAGAAGTAGAAAATGAAAATAAACTACACAAAAACCACGTATGCAAGGGTAACAAATAAAACCAATATCTTATTATTCGATTATGAAATGGACATTATACCTTTATTGCGTGTACGTAATTTCAAGTACTTGGGTGTTACAATAACTGAAGATCTCAATTGGAATGTGCACATAAATAAAATATGTATTTCAGTGGAAAGAAGACTTGGTAATTATGACGTAAACTAAGAGCCGCTTCACCAGACGCTAGACTACACTCTAAAAAAAGGGGGTGTAGACGTTACACCCCTTGTCACATATACGACACCCCAAAACTTCAGTTCGACGTACAGCGCGCTGACGTCGAACTGGCTGTTCCAACTTTTGCGAGAGGGTTAATGACCTTGCGATATAACATGTTAAACAGCTAAAGTACGTACCAAAGTCTACAGGAAATAAACACACAGGTTTTGCATTTGAGCCTAGAAAACCCCGATAACTTTTTTCGCAGTCAGTCCCAATCACATTAACTATTTTAATGAGTTGTCCAAGTCGGCTATCAAGCCGCATGTGAAATTTGGTAGCGTCGGTACAACCTCAGTGCGCTGTACATCCAACTGAAGTTTTGGGGTGTCGTATATGTGACAAGGGGTGTAACGTCTACACCCCCCTTTTTTTAGAGTGTAACTGCTTACCTAACCCTAGTGCTCCCCATACTAGAATATGCAAGCGTAGTATGGGACCCGAATGGAACCTACCAAATCAAAAAGGTTGGAAAAATTCAGAGACAAGCCGCGAATTTTATACTCTCAAGATATGGGACGACTGACTCAGTCAGCGACATGCTAAAACAGCTCAACCTGCCGCATCTCGAACAACGTCCAAAAATAGCAGGATTAAATTTCATGCATCTAATGTATCGCAACCTCTTCAACCCCCCCCCCCCCCCCCCCCCCTTTGACATTCACCAATATATAAAACCCCCTTGAATCAGATGACACCCATAACGGCACGTATAGATACTTTCAAATATTCATTTTTCCCCAGAAACATAGAAGAATGGAACTGCCTCCCCCATGATATAATAACAATAGACTCGTTGAGTTGTTTTGCAAATGAGTTACTACGGTTATAATAATACGGCGTATTGTTGTTTCGTGTCATTTTATGTCCGCGTGCTTTTGCGTGTACAAGGCTGTTATGAATTTGTATAGTGCTCTAAATCAAATCTCTATATGTATAACTTGTAACGGTACTGCGTGCACTAAAGTAGTGCAACTCCCATTTCAATATGTTTTAACACGCTCTGAACTCGTGAGTTTGTGTGAGTGTGTGTGTCTGTGTGTGTGTAACCGCCAAAACATCAGCCACAAGTGATTTTCTTTAGAACTCCACCCTGTATCGGCCCTCGGGCTAACAGTATTAATAAATAAATAAAATAATAAATGATTTCAATAATCAAAGCGAGGACGAAATTAAGGCAGCCACTTGCATGTATGCTCTGAAATGATGCTCTAAAATAGCTCGTATTAATCAGATCACTATCGTACTCGAGCTTATTATATCAAATGCTAAAAGAAAAGGGGGGGGGGGGGGGGGGGTGCTCTACCTAGGCTCATTTAGGGCGACTGATGACGTAAGGCCATCCCTGATGCCCGGTATCCCAAGGCAGATTACGTTGCGCCTGTACTGCGGGAAGGCGCAAAATTGCGGGGAATTCTGAGAAAGAGGTCGACCTCCACCGTGAAAAGTAGGATATGCGGAGAGCGCGAGCATCCCGGGACGGGTGGGCCTGCCTGAAAGAGGACGTCCTTGTCGAGCTGAATGCGCCTGCGCAGCACTGCCAACAGGCCCTCGAGGCCCGCCTGGTCCACGGACTCGAGCGCGTTCAGCAACGTCTTGTTCTTGATGAGCCGTTCTTGGACCTGGCCCTGGCGCATGCTGAGCTGCCGCTGGTGCGACGCCGTCGTGGGCGCCGGTCCGTGGCTCAGGGACACGCGCTGGGGTCCCTGGGCGGCCAGTGCGTCCAGCTTCTGGGCGGACACTTTCAACTGGTGCAGGAGCAGGTCGAGCTCGGCCCGGAGAGCGTCGTGCAGGTGCACCAAGACGCCGCCCGATGCGCCGACCAGGCCGTGCTGCCCGAGCCCCTCGAGCGCACGTTCCAGCGCCTTCTTGCGACCGCTCAGCTGGTGTCGCATCCGGGGCTCTGTAAGCACGATCACCTGCATAGACGGGGGTGCGCGACATAGTGCACGTCTGTAGGGTGATCGGGGGGCAAGTCACTCGTTTTGGGGAGACGCTTTTCTCCGAATGATCGACACAGTTTCCGTTGGGCAAGCACGTCCGCGTGTATCGCAAGCACCCAGTTTTACCGATCGGGGTCTATGGGGCGTCGATCGTGTGTAGACATCCGGTATACAACATTTCCCGCGCTCTTTATTTTATTGTGGAACGCTAGGCTTCTGAGATAATAGGAAACTTTAGTGCACTGTGTTTCCCCCTCCGCTAAGCCCTCCTCAACGAAGAAGCCGCTACTGCGCCTGCGCGCCGATGGCCTTGACTGTAGAGTTCCGGCTATCGTAGCGGGTTGCGGAGAGCATTGCGGGACTGAAAAATAATCTACAAAAACCCCTAGATAACAATTTCGCCCAAAAAAAAAAAAAAAAAAAAATTGGGGGCTAATTGTTTTACAACAAAAGCATAAATCCAATCGTATAGGCTCGGCGTCGGTATCGAGCGAGTCCGCGATGGAGCTCCGAACAATGTCTCCCGCTCCAGTGACCACGTTTCACGTAGTGCGCAGTCTCCCAAAAACACGTGTGCGACGCCGCACAGGTCTCATCATTATCACTAGTTTTGGAAAATTGGTTATAATTATGAAGTATGTGAGGCGTCACCCATTCGGTTTTGAGAAAATTTACACAATATAAAATGAACTTTTGCCTGTGCCTTTGCCTCGTTTGCGACAAGGGTTGTCCATCCCTCGTGCACAAAAGGGCGGTTGTCCGTAGCCTCCAGCTGGCAGGAGATATTTCCGGGTTTAGTAATTCGATTAGTAGAGCCAGTCTTGGGTAATAACTAATTACTATAGTAACGCGTTGCCGGTAACTAGTTACTTTTTTCAGCAACTTGTAAATGTAACTCGTTACTGCTTAGTGAAAATAACTTGTAACTGTAACAAGGTTACTATTTGTCGTAAGTAACTGTAAAGAGTAATATCGTTACAGTTACTTTTCATATTTATGCGCAAAAAAATTGCAAACACGACCACCAAATCGTCTCGCAACCCATGAGAGAGTCCCAAGTCCTGGTACGGGAGGGGCACAGCAAAACCTGCTGTCGAAACCATCTGAATCACGAAGAAAAAAAACTAAATTTTGAATGACCCTGTTTGACCAAGCTGGTTCCGCCAACTGGGAGGATGGAGACGTTTGTGCTAGTACCGGCCGTGTACGGTACATCGCCCACAGTGCACGCAGATGTAACAAAGCGCAGCATCTCTAGAGCGCCTTTCTCTTCTTCGTCCGGCGGAGGAAGACAGTGCTTTGTTCAGAGGTCAGTTTTTGGTGATTGTCGCCCCAAACGCCCGCAGGCTTACGGCACAACCGATTTCCCGAACCTCGTCTTCTTGCCGCCAAGCATGCGTTTCCTTCCCCTCTAATTTGAATCGTCCAACTTCCGCACGCACTCTTGCGGGGTCTCGACTTTAAATCCAATTTCCATTCCTTCATTTTTTTTTTTTTTCTTTTTGTTGCAGCCCAATTATTTGTTTTGCCTCGGGTCCCGTCACTTGAAGAAGAGTATTCGCTCGAAACGTCTGTGCCGTTCAGCTTGATAGTGTTTTCCTGAAATTGAAAAACTGCCGCTAGCCGCGACCAAGGGCACTTGCCATTAGTCGATTTATCGATATTCACGTTGTGGGCTTTCCGGGTAATGAATGGAAGAACACAAACATGTTTGATCTGGTTAAGAAGTGGCGGAGAAAAGATCTCAAAAGCCGTTTGGAATCCTACACCCGTAGTCGTTTGTACCTCGATCAGTGCTTATTTTGCACTGCTGTCGTGTTCAGCGGGTTTGACGGAGGAATGTTGTGGCAACATTCCTCCGTCAACAAGTTTTCAAGAGAAGCTTCGTGTTTCATGAAACATTGTGCGCACGCAGTAGAAAACGATTCGACCGACGAGTGGATTGGAGTGGCATCAGAAACCATCTACAAAGCTGATTGCAAGGTATTACTTATATTGTTATGGACTTCACCTTTCCGCGATTTTTGTTGTTTTTGTCCCATCTCCCCTCACCAAAGAAATGCAAAATTCGAATTGACCGATTGTAAACTCGCACCCTTATGGGATATACACGAGATCTTGCGCTCGTGCTGTTGTATTCTTGTATACCTTATGGTGGTCGCGCCTATTTTAAAGTTCATCGTAGATCATCTGCAGCTATCTGCTATGTTACAATTTTAAAAAACTAAAGTCACCTGTAATTTTGCCACAGAAGAAACCACATATTCTTTATCATATAGTGGAGTTACTCAGATGCTGCCTTAAATTATTATGTTGTTCAAGGAGCTTTTTATTCACGGTGAAAATGGAAATAGGAAGAACCAGACATGTTAATACTGATTATTGTGAAAATCTTAGTTTCTCAAAATAATCAGATTCACTACCGTGACCAACAGGATGTCTTGCAAAAAAGATATCTATGCTAATTTAAAAGCATATTAAAGGGGCACTAAAATCATTTTTTAAAAAGACCGTTTTTGATCTCATATTGTTTAAAATGTGTTAGTTCCCACATATATCAAGTCCTACATTACAAAACCGCCTATTCATCTCAGGGCAATAGAAAAACATGTGGACTATTTTCTCTCTCGGACTACATTGTGTGGACCAGTGAAAGCCCTACAAAACGCGCAGATTCCGAATGATTTTATTTTAACTTGTTCGAAGAGAGTTTGAGTCTTAGAGGTATACATTCGGATAAGACTCCTCTTTTTCTCCGCGGGCGAAGCCATCGCTTGCAACTCGCCGACAAGCGCCCTTCGTCGACCACTTCACTCGGAAGTTCCCAAAAGGGCGTGTTGTGATCTTTGAACCCGCATATAACGAGGAAATAAGCCACGCACGGTTGTGGTTTTTAGTTTGTTGGGGTGCTTAGAGCGCCTAGATTGACTTGTCACCACAAAAGGACGGTCTCAAAATAGGCTCCAGTGCCCTTTAAGGAAGGTTGCTTCTAAATGTTTTCTAATATTTTTGTAAAGTAAAAACGAAGTAATTGTAACTGTAACAAGTTACTTTTTCTATTTTGTAGTTGTAAATGTAACAGGGTTCCTTTTTTTGCCTGCGTAGCCGTAACTGCAACACTGTTATATTTCAGCACTAACGTGCCCATGACTGAGTAGAGCTGCATATATACATAGATCGACGCTATTTACCTGTATATCAAGAATGCGTGCCTTAGACTCCGTCCTTTTTGGAAGCGCCAGTAAAAACATAAGGAGGGGAGGGGAGAGGGGGGGGGGGGCGGGCAAAGCTGATTAGTCGGATTGTGTCAAATAAAAATGCGGGAACAAACGATATTAGCGATTTTTCCTGTACGCTAGTTACCCTTTTGGTGAAGATGAGAGTTGTTACTTTGGTAATATAACGTGGGAGTTCTGAAGGCCGTCAACTCCGATTCCTCACTTTACGGAAGATAGGTCGACCTGTATGAAATCGGCCTGCACGATTGCTTTACCCCAGAGGGCGAAGAAAAGACGAACGCCATTCAGAAGAGCCGAAGAGCTCTTCCGCTCTACTCAAGTGACGACGAGTCCCGAGAAAATCGGGTGCAGGAAAGAATAGTCAGCGTCGTGTTCCAATGCGCGTATAAGGCAAGATGCCAGGCACTTTTTTTTTTTCGTCGAGCCAAGGAAGTGTGACTCAAAATAGCAACATCATCACAAAAAAAAAAGTCTTTCCCCAGCGCGAATTTGAGCAAGTGAAACATTACGGTCCAGTTTGGCGGAAAGATCCTATAGATAGAGACAGAGATAGGATGCAGTTTATTACATTCATAGTCTAAACATCATCGTGTTCTGTCGCCCTGGCCATTCCTTATAAAAGGTAAACATATCGTCCGGGATATCCTGTACAAAAATGGAGTCACTCTAGGACGGCAGCGTAGACTTCTCATCAGTTGATGGAGAAGAAGACCTTGGGTGGGTGTTTATTCGCCAAACTCAGGCATGCAGTGATAACTCAATTTGACAAACAACGATGGCCAAACACAGCTCATCCGAAAGGCTGAAGGCACACCAGGGCAGAAACGAGAGATCTCCAGTGGTGTCGTCGTGCACACGGTGTCAGACATCTCGACACTAATAAAGACGTTTTCAGCTCCACAACCTGAAGGAGCTCTCGTGTCCAGCACGTACACAAAGTAAACTATGGCGAACACGGATCATTAACGCAGTACCTACTCGACCGAGAGCAGAAAGGGTCATTGCGCTATTGCGGGACATCCCAGTCGTTTTAAACTCTTTGACCTTCTACTGAGGTCAATTTGGGATCCTCCTTCGTGACCGAGGGTTTAGACCCGGAACCTTGGAATGTTCTGAAACCATAAATTGTGCCAATCGTTCCGCAGCAGTTTGATTACTCCTCCCTATGCTGCTGAAAGACGCGACAGACAAAGGGACGGAGGTCAGACTGTCCTTCTGTCTGCCAGAACCTGGTCTAAGCTGTAAGGTCACATCTTTTTCAACTCGCTGCTGACTGTACTGATCTGCTGCAAGACATTGCCTCTTACACTGCTAACAAGGAACTAGTGAAATGCACAGAAATAATCGCCCTTGTCATCCCTGGAACACAGCCCAACTAATTACATTCCAGGTGATTACCACAAAACATGACCAGTATTTCTTGGAAGCCATGCTGTCAAACTTCAACTCGAGAGTCGTTTAAGAGACGTCTGCGTGCGGCATCAGAAGGTGTATGTATTCCTTGTGCGAGTGCTCGAACAAGCAGCAAAAATCGTCCTGTAGTGTGTGTTTGTGTTTTTTGTTTTCTCGTTTGCGTTTTAAGTAACACTGCACACAACTTCTGAAATGGAGCAGTGTTTATGTGGCCCTCTATTGGAACTGATAATACGAAAGTAAGTAAATTTTAGTTACTAAATAAAAAAGAGAATCTGAGAGGGAAAGAAAGTCAGACCAATAGTTCGTGTCAACCTTGCACAC